AGGTCACCACTGAAAAAATAAGATATTTGCGTGTCTTACAGAAAAGTCAATCAGTATTCAGAAAAAAATACGCTTTTAAAGGTGATCCCTTAATTGAGATGGCCGTTTCACCTGTTTCACTTTTTTTCGTTATTCTAAATATTCACCGTTCTCTTACATTCTGCACTCACCTTTTAACAACCTTCTTCTGATATTCATACGCGTATCCCATTGCTGCAATAAAACATCACTGAACGTATCTACACTATCTGGCATCTTCCTTAACATTCGAATTCTGTTTCTTCCTATCAAAATGTTACTAATGTCAATCAGAGCAACCCTGCAGTTAACGTCTGTTGCTTATCGTCCGCATTTAAGAAGATCAGAAACCTGTTATCTCAGACATTTGTTTACGGCATACTTGGTGCAGGACGGTTGTGTAGTCTTATTAATTTTTCTACTTCTCTTATTCTCCGTCATTGCCATTTACATGTACGGGTACGTTAGTACGAATATCTTTATCAGCTAACCTTACGTACATTTTCTTCATTGCCAAATGTTTATGTCACCTTCTTCAGTTAGGGATTCTCATTCATGTGTGCAGTTCGGTATTGATAACTTTGGCATTCTTCCCACGGACGTCCTTCACTACAGTTTGTTTTATTCTTTCTCAGATAACAATTATAGGGCACTCCATTACCTGCCTGAAAACCTAACATTTAACAGATCTTCTTAGTATCTTAGTACTTACGAGGTAATTTATTCCTCAATGTACCTGACTGTATGTTTCAAGGTATTGGAGAGGATATATTAAGTCAGACAGTAAGTAGCCTATTGGATACATCCCAGGGTACAGAGATGAGAAAATACTTTCTTGATTCTTGTTACTGGACTTAAATATAGTCGGCGAAAGGTAATATTGCAGGTATTGAGGGAACGTCTTAGTAATTGCTTTCATGTTCGCTGAAAAATAGTGCTTGAGGTGCACCATCTTTTATCGAGTTTTGCCGAACGGCTTTAAACTCGAGTTGACCTTGGTTGCTCTCGGTGCAGCTGCACCCACCGCCATCACTGCCACTATTATTACTGAAACTCGTGCAACGCCACTGCAACCACCATCGTTGCTACACATCTGCACCGCATTCCCACTCACTATACCATTACTTTACCATTACTTACACCATTACCAAAATTCACTCTAAACACAATCATCATTACCGAAAAATCCAAAATACAATTTCCATCAATATCACTTCCACAATACCTCCATAGAAATTGCCGTTTTCACACATAGAAAATACCACCGAATCAGTCATCGCTAAATTTGATTTAACGCCAATTAATACTTGTGCTTACGCTTCTTCGTCGTGCCTGGTTACAGACAGTTAGTACTAATCATCATTTAATCCTAATCGAGGCGCCTCCGACTCATTATTTCACTGTCACTGTCAGCATCATCACAATTATCCTCATAATTTTGAAGTGTAGTTAGCAAATTTCTGATATACTTTCCCAGTTACATCAATCAACAAGTTCTGTACCATTACCGTTAATCATCATATACTATATTGATTCCATTACGGTAAGGGATTAGAAGAACCATCGCTCTCCGGAATACGCTGCCAGCATCAAACGTCCCTCAACACCACTCTCAACAGACATTGGTCTATTATCACAATCCCCATCTTCACCACCAGTATCATCATACTCAATATTGTCACGATCACCTTTGATTCGACAATCACACCTATGGCATCATTACAACCATCAACACCGTCTCAGCTATTACAACGATAATCGTAACAACCACTACCACTGTCGCAATATTTTAATAGTTTATTTCAGAAACCTGTCAATCGTCAAAATCTAACACACGCATTAGCGGAAGATTATTGTTCCAAAAAGATAGACACACCGTTCTGTGCTTATTTATATGATATATAATCATTTATCAACTGCTTTAATAAATAAAAATATTTTTGTAATCAGATAAATTGGGAGTCTTTTTCTTAGTTTTCTCGAGATGCGGAACTTAGCGTTTGACGGGTTTCTCAAATAAACGATTCAAACATCACAACTACAATAATCGTCACAGTCACCACGGTTACAAGTATAATCGGTCATCATCGATGCATCACAACAGTGAGAGTCACCGTCACCGTCACCATCACCGTGGCCACTTCCGCCTCGTCTCCCCCTGGCGCCTTCCTTCGGCGGCTCAGGCTGTGGCGGCGCGGAGGCTGTGATTTGCGCGGCGCGCCCTTTAATGCGCGCGCAAGTAGCGGCCCCGTAATGGCCGCGCCCCCCTCGCCGCCCGCCGCTCAGGCGCCGTAATGCCCCGTAACCACCGGCTCCGCGGGCTGTTTAGCTTCTCCGCGCCTCCTTCACACCTGATCGCCGGCCCCGCCACCGCCGATCGCCGATATCCCCACAGCCTGCTCCACCGCCAGCTCAACCGCCAGCTCTACTGCGAGCTTCCACGCCAGCTCACCGCCACCGCCACTCTTTGTCACCTCATCGTACCTCTTCAACACCTCTTCGTCGAGACTTTCGTCGAGACCTCGTCCGAGACTGTCGTCGAGTCGTCGTACGAGCTTCGTCCGAGTCTTCGTCGAGGCGACTTCGTCGAGACTCGTCGGACATTCGTCGAGAACTTTGGTCGATGAGCTTAGTCGCGAAACTTTGTTCGGTCGAGACTGTCGTCGAGACTTCGTCGAGACTTGTCGAGACTTGCGAGCTCGCAGACTTCGATCGAAGACTTCGTCGAGACTTCGTCGAGAGTCTTCGTCGAGACTTCGTCGGAGACTTTCGTCAGTTGGTAGACATTGTGGCTGTTCGGAGACTTCTCCGGCTCGCGAGCCAGCTCTCGTCGAGACTTCGTCGAGACTTCGTCGAGACTTGCGTGAACTTCGTCGAGACTTCGTCGAGTCTTGTCGATCGCGTAGTTGATCGGATTGTCGAGTCTTGTCGAGTCTTCGTAGTCTCGTCGAGATCTTCGTCATCTTCGTCACCCCCGTACTCACCAACTGCAGCCCACATGAGATGAAAGAACCAAAGAAAGACGCCCGCAACTATCACCGATCAGTCCACTTCTCGTATTCGCTCCCACTGTGGCACTACAGCTCCTGCCCAGCCTTCAACACGCACCACTTGCACTGCACGCGCTCACACGCCCGCACGCGCAAACGTACTACTACCACGCGGCTTCTAACATCGCATGCGGCCACTACACCTTGGCCCAGACCCGCCCACAGCTCGCCAC